AGTCTATGCCTTTGCCCAGGATGATCATTCCTCCCACCTGACTCATTTCTGCATTTTCAGTTTTTAGTAATTATTAAAAATAAGGTAATGTATTTTAAAAACTATAGCAAGCAAAGAAAATCCTCTGTACAATGAGCTATTTTTGCTTACGATTAGAATTCTCACTGTTAGAACTGTAAATCAGTCATCTCTTGAAGGAAAAATATTCATTGTATTACTTCTACACCCTATTAACTCTAGATGGCTGAAATTTATATTAATTACCGTAGGCGGAAGACAACATAAGATTAAATACTATGATGTCTGAAACTGTGCAAGATTTCCAGTCATGAACTTAGCATCAGAAGCCATGAAGCTGTATCATAATTTAAATAAAAAATAAGCCAACATATTAAAATGATACTTTGCTACACAGTAAAACATTTTAAATTGAGGCCATTGGTTTCCACTTTTTTCCATAAACAGCAACATTTCCACTCTTTTTAAGAGGCATTTCCCTATAGAATGCAAGTGGCTATTAAAAATACAATTCATATTGCTATTAACAGTATTCTTTGGCAGGTGCTTGAAGCACTCTCCCCTCATCATATAATACACTTTAGAGTTTCGACTGTGTTCACTATTCTTCATGTTGTTTTACAGAAATAAAACAAATATTTTTATCATTTTCAGGTATTTCAGCAAGTAATATTATTTATTGTAGGCTAAATTAGGAGTTCACTTTCAGACAAACTGCCTAAAAAGTTACACTCCATAAAATTCTCAAACGAAAGAACTGAAATGATCCTATGGGATCACAATATTTCAACAGCACCTGTTTCATGTGTAGGAGTTAGACGCTTAGAAAGTAATTTCCTGTGCTGGCCCAACACCAGATACAACAAAGGTTTTTCTTCGTATCCAGATAATACATGACAAGTGGAAAGAACACAGTCCTGTTCACTGATCCTATTGCTGCTCTTAATTCCACCTCATGATGAAACTGAATGGCTTTGTAGTCTCTAAAAAAAGTGCGTGTTCTTAATGTGTTTCTAATTCCATGCAAAACCTTAACAACGTCAAGACAGTTTGCAATTTTCACATAAGGAAGCATAACAAGTTAGTAAAAAAGGGAAGCTAAACATTTCACTTGACTTACTATTATGAGGACTAACAACTGCGTATTTTCACTAAGAATACATCACTAGTAGAGGCACCTTTTTTCCCCTACTTTCCATTAAGTACTTTCTTACCCTTTTATGGCTAGATCTTTCCTGACAATTGTGAAGGATAAGCTTAAATTCACCATACCATATGGCTCAAGACAGACACATTGATACTGTCTATAGAGGAGAACTTGGACTCTGAGCCAGTCTATGCCCTTCAACTACCAAACCAGTTCGTTCACTTTAGACACAAAGCAGAGCACAAAGTAATATGGAAGAAGCACGGATAATCAGGAAATTTGGATTCCGCTAGCGTCAGGCTCAGTTGAGCTTAATTACAAATAATTTCCACATGTCTAGTACTGAGAATATTTTGTAGAGAATATTTTGTAGAGTAAGTGGGGGAAAAAAATTGCCTTCTCTCATCTTGTCAGTAAAACCTAAAAAAACGCTTTTTGTTTTAGATATGCTCAAGAGGTCATGTAAATTAAAGTCTTTCAAAAATATGACAGAAGATCGATATAATATTCAGGCCTATACGGAAATTGTAAAAGGGTATTCTACTGTCAGCTGTGTTTTAGTGACTATGCATTACTGGATTTCAATTTTTAAGAATAGTGGCATAAATACTCTGTCCCTACGGAAAGCAAAGTAACTGTAAAAAACAACAAAAATACTTCTTTTACCTTGTAAAAGAGAAGCTATGAAGGCAGTTGCTACACTGCTAGAACACAAAAGGATTGAATGATCAAAGCGGTATTTGCCCTCTGGAATCCAGCCCAATATAACTGCTGCCACTGCTGCCAGGAAGCCAACTACTGTTGCCTGAACCTAGAAAAGAAACAGGTAAAAGTGTTTTGTTAGAAACGAGCAGCTCTTAAAATAAATGACTTAAGAGGACTACAGAATCATTTCCTGTTATTCTTTCCTCCTATCTACATTTGCTTGCAAAGCGTAGAGGGAGCACGCACATCCATTCTGCAGAGAAGATGGTACCCCTGGCTGATCAAGAAGAAAAATCCTATGCCGGCAGTAAAGGCTTTACCAGTAATTCAGAGATTCAAAAATAACAAAAGTAAAATCAGGGAAAAGAGCTGAGGAATCACCAGGAGCCTAAGTCGAAATGCCTAAAAAGCTTCCTAAGCCACTTAAAACAGTGAAGTCACAGCATAAACACTTCACATATTTTTTTTGAAACCTGTATGTTCCATTACAAAATATGAGCATGGAATAGATCTTAAGATTAACAGATAGTTGCTTTGGGGAACGAACACTCATTTCCTCAAACGATCCAGCTATTTAAAATATAGTTTATTATCCAAAAGCTCCATCACATACTTCCTTTAAATATTGAATCCAATTAAAATACAGTATTGAAAAGATTTGAGGCCACATTTAAGAGGCTTTGCCAAATCTGAAATTATTCTCTAATCATCCTTAGAAATGTTCTCTCTAAAAGTCAAAAAGGAAATACTATTGATACAGTCACAAAGCATACTGTACTTCTTTTGTGATAAACACAAGTTCACATTGTTTTAGAAAAGAACTAGGCATTATAAAGAACTAGAACAGTATATTTTAAGTATGACCCAGTGGTGTATAGCTAGATTCGCAGTAAAATTTTCTGTCTCTACATTTGCCCAAACTTGTGCTGGATATTTTAAATAACTTTGATTAAGCTTTGTAAGTAAACTAGTCAATCGCATTTACCTGTTTTAAGGCCAAATTGCCAATTATTAGGTTCCATTTCTCAATGGGAGAATCCATTTTCCCAATATTTACCTGTTGAAAATACCAGACAATTTAAGACATTTAGATTTAAAGATGATATTACTTTGAAAATTCACTAACAAGGCAGAAAACCACACATAATTCAACTGTCACCAAAAAAGTGTTGACATTATATCCTATCTATAGAGATTAACAAACTCAAAAAATACGTGAGGGAATTTGTTGATCATACACAGTAATAAGAAATGTGATTCTTTATAGCTTTTAAGTTGAAGTCTTTTACAACAATTAACACTTAATGCCAGACATTTTGAAAGCAAGTTAAAACGAATCTACGCTTTTTTCCAGTCAAGCATTTAAAACTGCACTTATGCTACCTATCCAAAAACAGCCAAGTTTGATGCAGTTTTACATCATAGGTGACTTGTTTAACAGTAGCCTACCGTGTAAGGTATACCAGCTACCTGATACTCCATGAAAGCTCTGAACACCACCAGTGATCAGATCGGTGGCTGGAAGGGAAACTTATCAGTGTTCAGTCACTTTAGACTAAACTTGTTTCTATGGGCCCCAAATTCTATGACCCAGTATAGAAATGCACAGACATATGTATTTGTGGACACACATACTTTCCGGCATATGTATTAATTGACTGCAGTGAAACTACCTGCATACATAAAATGTATTTGCAAGTGCTTACAAAAATCAGAAACTACATCTGGTAGTGTTTTGTATTCTAACTTCGGGCTTATACCAAGACAACTAGAGATTTATAATGCTGTAAGTAATGTAAGCCCAGGCCTACGGCAGTAGTTAGAAAACTGCAAGTTATTATTATTATTTTAACAAATGAAAAAGGACATACATATTGTTTTATAATGTATTCCATACTTCTATTTATTTTTTGAGTTAGAGGACAAAATCTGAAGAACCATGAGTACCACTGCAGTATGAATATATTTAAAATAACTTCCTTTTGAGCTAACTGAACAAATTCTTACATTTTTTGCAAAAATACTCGTGTTTATTTTTTCCTGTGGAATATTAATTTATAAAATAACCCATACTTCTCAAAATACAGAAAGCCTTAGTGCTTTCTTTTTCCCTTTTGATGACTTCCTTTCACTTGGTTATACTTCCATTTCTTTTCTATTTTTTTATGGATTGTGATTTTAGTGATTTTCTGAGGAATGAAATGTTAAAAGAAATACCCAACTTAAAAATTTGGGAACTTAATAAGACACTTTATCTCAAGCTCCACTACAAATATTTTACAGTATTCAAAGTACAGTCAAAGCTCTATCAATTCAAGCATTAAGTTTAAATACTAGAGCAGTATTTAAGGAAGTACAGATAGGAATCTTCATTGCATCCTTCTTAAATATACATGCTAAATGATGGGCTATGGAGAGCTCCACATTTCTTTTCCTTTCGATAAGCTTTTGAAAATTATCAAACAATCCCTGCTAAAATAGTAATCTTGCAAAACTTAAGTCAGCCTGCAAGTGAGCTGCTGCCAAAAGGCATAGTTTTTTCTCTCCCCTATCATCAACTGCAAGATCGTGTTCTCTTTCTTGAATCAGATCTAGCAACTCTAGAAGTGCATGACAACACAGATTTGCTTGCTGCTTTGATGGAAAACTTTATTTTAGGAAAGTAGAAATGGGTTTTCTTCAACAAAATGATCTGATCCTTCAGTGACTGAACAAATGCTGCTGGGGTTTGGAAGGGAGAAAGAGAGCAGGACCCCTCCCTTCCAGCTACAGATTTCCATTAAATCAGATCAAGTTTACTGTGATACCACAGAATAGGTGGACCTAAGGAAAAGGCTTATGAAGTCACACTGCTAATGCCTGCCACTGATAACAAGCAGACAATCAAAGCAAGGGAGTCTGCATAAAGTTTACAGGGGTGTCTGGATGAGTGTCTGTCTTTTCTTCCTCTTAAAAAAAAAAAAAAAAAAGGAAAAGGAATAGGGCAATAGTGTGAACTGAAATAACAATGGGAATGACCCAAAGTACAGAACAAAGCTGAAGAATACAAAATACACAAGAGAAATATGTTTGAAAGGGCATTTGACCTACACACATGTCATACATTTATGCCAGCACAATGTGGGGGGAGGGGGAACTGTTTACATTAACACTGATGCCAAAGAAAAGTACAAGCTATACCGTGAAGTTGAATAAAACAACAGCCTTGAGACACAGTGAAAGGACCAAGATGGAAGTGGACAGGAAATTGCAGAGTGATCAGTAACAGATCAGTAACTAAAGCAGAAATTTGAGCAACAAGACCAAGTCATCAGGCAAAACTTGGAAGCAGAGGTATTATGAATAAAAACTTGTTGAAATGACAAAACATTATGTTCTGGCTGACTACATAATTACAATGGGGTAAAGAGTAAAGACAATCAGTTTGCAGCCCCAAGAGCATAGGCACATCTACAAATTCAGATGCAATTATAAGCTAACTGAGCCAGAAGGGCAGGAATTAGCTCCAATGCGGAAGTCGTATTAGAAATTTTCTCCTTAAAGGAAGAGCTAGTCACACAGGCACAGTCCTGCATTTAGTGTTGAGACAGCATTTGCTGGGGAGCTGGTTTGTGCAAATTTAGCTCAGAGGAGAGAAGGTGAATCATGTAACTGTCTTCAAATGACCATTTAGATATGCCCCAAATGAATATACTCCTTCAGTTTTCACTAAGTATGAGGACGACAGGAGCAAAGGCAGAATGGCGAAAGAGAGTCGGGGTCAAAGAAATCAATGGGAAGAGTGCAAAGATCAAAACAATCTCTTTCATAGAGGTCTGAGAGAAGCGGCATGCAAACTGCAGGTCCAATTGCAAGCTTTTTGGTAACATTCTTCAGTAAGGAATGATACACTACGATACAGCACCCATTTTTAAAACCTAGGAGGGAGCCAGCAATCAAGACAACTGCCCTGGAGTTTAAATTCATACTTGGCAACCAAACCCAAGCTGCCACATGTGAAAAGTTACATGCAACAGATTACAAATATAACAAGTTCACGTTTGGTTTTTTTTTTTCTCTAAGTAACAGACGCTTTACAAAGCTCTTGAGCGTTTGCCTTCACAGCAGTGCTCAGTGAGGATGGCTGGCTAACCCCAAGCTCACAGAGCTGTGCGTGTCGCAACCGAAGCAGAGCACGAAAAAAGACACCTAAAAGAAAGTCGGTAGGTTCTCTGTAAGACAAAGACCGTTTTTTTTCCTGTGTACTAACATATAAAGACTAAATATCATCTCATTAGTATTATCTTGATAATGAAATATCGAAACTGTTCTTATTTCATACAATATTGTTATTTTAAACCTCCACTGTGTTATACGTGTGTATATGCATACACACATATGCACTACAACATTTTCTGTTGATCTTCACCAGCTAAAATACATTAGACTGCCCACTGGCTAAAGGAGAGAACGTCCACCAAACCGTGACATGTGTCTACCACCTTCCTAAGAGGGATGTGCAATGAACTTAAAATAGACCTAGGAAGTCCTAGAAAGTAGTTCAATTGCCTCTGTAAATCAGTCCAGGGTCTCTCATGGTCCCTGAGGAAAACAGGCCATCTAAGTAACTACCAGAGACATCAGAAAAAAAAAAAAAAATTCAAGCCTGTTGACTCAAAGCTGGGAAACAGCTTGGTGCCAGAGGTGCTGTGACCATGACATACGGCATTACCAAAGACACTGGAGCTCCCATATGCCAGACAGTATTGCCTGAAGAAACGTACATGACACTGATCTCTTCTTAGCTAGCTAACTAACCTTCATGGTGGTACGCTGTGAAAAGGGTTGACTAACCTGATTTGGCCAAGCTAGAGATAGGACAACTGCTGGTACTGGGATGAAAGGAAGCCTTAATGGCATGCTTGAGTGAAAAGCTCTGAAGCATCAGCTGACTTATGTCTTGGTGAGACTTAATAACAGTAGCAGTGGTAAGTGGAACTGGTAATACTCTTCAAACTAAGCCCTCTTAGAATAGGCTGTGCATCAAAAGATGGAATACAGCTTTCACAGTTAGCACAAGCTCTAACAGAGGCATTCAGCAAAATCAATTAAATCCAGAAAAACGAGGAAAAGGTAGATATACAACAAAAACTATCAAGCAGCAAAGCATTTTGACTCAATAAGGTAATTTCATGGAAATAAAGTAGTGGCAAAAGGTAAACTCCCAGAAGGATGCTGTCTCTACTTGAGGGCAAGTACGATGAAAAAAATGGTGAAGGCAACAGACAGAAAGTAAAGCTTAAAGCTCTTCATCATCCCGACTATATTCTGTTGTTTCAGTCTTGGTAGGGGCTTGTGGTTCAAATGTCCAAATTGGCACTGAAAAATCGCATTCAAGACATCTGCAGGCCATGTTATCAAGCAGTTAATAGGATACTTCTAAGCACACCATTCTGGTTTGGGGAAAGGTGGCCTGAACCTGAGGATGTTAACTTCAGTTAACGACTAAACATGCAGGCATTGCTGTGGAACCTCTTGTATCAATTTTCCTGGGGCAGGGGGGCAACTCCTTGACTTCTGGTAACAATTAAGAGAGAATATGAACTGGAGCCAGGACTCTCAGTGCAGGAAAAGGGTCTATATTTTACAGATGTCCCCTGAAAGCTATGAGGTTCACAGATGAGATGGTATTGCTGAGGATGGGGAAATCAGGCAATGACTGGCCCAGAGAAGAGGTGCTGGAATCATAATCTGACAAAGGTCTCATCCTTTTGCTTGAGCTACAATTGAGTCAGAAGAATTAAAGATCCCGTTATCTGAAGCAGAACTAGCGGAGCTCATTCTGACCCTCTTTTTCTACACCTTCAGTAAGGCACTGGCAGATACTGGACTTCCTTGGGTTTATTCTTCACAAGGCAATACAAACACTTTGGAATGCTCAGGCAAGGAGCTGTATAAGTTGTGAACAAATTAAGTGACAGGTCAACACAAAAAAACCTGTAAGCTAGAAGATAAAAACATGCAGGCCTGACAGTAAAGGCAGTAAGGTTTAAACACAAATTATTGTGAACAAAAAAAATAAGAAAACCCAGAAAATTAAGAACATTAAAATCAAGCAGAAAACATGACTGAATAGCTAAGGCTGCTACTGACAAAGATGCAACAAAACATGCCAATTCATACGTATGAAAGAAAGGGTATGGGGCAAAATGCATCAGTTTCTGTAACAGGCACGCAAGCAGACCTTCAAAGGACTGCTAAGCTTATGTCCATCACAGTGTGTATTTGGGCAATAACTCAATATAATGTGGCAATGAAATTTACTAATGACACAAAGCTGGGAGGCCTTGTCAATACAAAGAACTGTAATATCATATGGAAACTAGATGAACTTGAGGATTACAGCCATGAAAAGAGATGAAATTCAACAGTAGAAGTGCAAACTCATGTGCTTGCGGACTATCACTATTTCTGCCAGAAGATGGAAGTAACAGCTGGGAATAACATAAAAGGAGAAATACTACGAGCCTGTAATTGATCACCAAGTGACTATGAGGTCTAAATATGATGCGGCTAGGAAAAAAAATAAAAAGAATCCTAGAATGTCTCAAGGGAGCAATTTTCAAGAGGAACAGGGAAGTGTTATTTTACAAACTCATAGTGAGTGAGGTTTCATCTGGAATTTCATACACGTTTTACTAGTCATTTTCCGGAAAGATTTATTGAAGCAGGAACAGATAGAGAAGGCACCCTTCTTCCCCTGAGAATGGAAAGCCTTTCTTGCAAAGGAGAAATACTGCATAAGGCAGCACGTTACTGAGATACCTAAGATAGCTCAGGTACCAGAAATCGTTTAGCCAAGTTAGTGGAGCATTCGATTCATGATAGTTATTCACACAGAAAAAAATACACATGGGAAGGTAATCTGGCTTCTTAGGCTAGAAAAATGAAGGGATGGAACACCCCTTGAGACATAAAAAAGAACTATGAGAAAGATATACAAAAAAAGACATAGAAAAGAACTACTTACGCTAAATAACAGTGTTGGCACAAAAAAAAATTGTTTAGCTGGAAAGTTTTTAAAAAGTTTCTCACAGTTTGATTAACAAAGGTCTAGAGCAGCAATGTGAGCAATGCTTTATTTTGGTGCCACACAAGTGGTCTTCTGAAAACTGTATTTAAAACTTACACAGGAGCCTATTCAAACCCCCTCAAGGCCAAAGAAACTAGTCAAGCTTACAGAATATAAAGGTAAATCTCAAAAATCTACTCAACCTGCTGTGAAGGATGACCCAGAGAAGATGGAAGAAGGTAAAGTGTGAAGATTGGAAGATGGTTGCCTTTTTAACTTTGCCAATTTAATAACAAATGTAAAGAGCTCTTCTAACAGCCAAATAAAGCCATAAGTATAAAACACTTTTGCTCCATAGATTTGTTTACCTTTTGAAATATTTACAACACATCTAAAGGAGGAAGGGAAAAAGAAAGTTACTTACAGCAGTTGACAGTCTGGATGCCAAGGTCATTTCCAAATTTCCCTTGAGACCAAGAAGCGCAGGAACTAGGATAAACACTTCAGTAACGTTCTTGAACACATCCCAGTGCTATTTAAAGGATATAAAGGGGAAAAATTCAATTGAAAATTTTTGAACTAAAATTCTCTAACTCATAACCTAAGTCTCCATAAGAAACAATCTTTTAATATTAGACCTAGAAACTTTAAAGAAAGAACTGTTATCTCTCTAGATAAAAGATAATTATGACTGCATATCACTACTTTAAAGATCAGAATACCCAAAGTAAATTATACAAAAGTTCCTAAATGCATATGGCTCTACTACCGCACTTTCTTCTCATCTTTTAGATAATAATTAAGTAAAAGTCATTTGAAATTGTTATTTTTCCTGGTTAATCAATCGTTATTTCTTACCCTCTCTGAAAAGGGAGACTAATTTTTACATGAATACATATAATTTCTGTTTATATTGTGCATATGATAATTTCAGACACTTAAATTACACTACTAGTACATCAAAGTAATCAATAGAAATCAATATGAAGTCTAATAACATTTCTCTTTATACTAGCAGGAAATTAAAACTTGATCTTACAGCAAAACTAGTTCCAAAAGATGTCATTAACTTGAAGTCTTTTTTACGACTTTAAAATAGTACCAGGTGCTGTACCTGCTCTTGAATTCTGCTGTTAATTTACAAAAATATTTTCCTCTCTTCCCTTCCAGCTGTCTAGAAACTCCACATAAAAACAGCAAGCAAGAAATTGTCAAATATTCAAAGTCCATAACTCTGCTCTTATCTCTTTCACTTATACAAGGTTTTGGATCTGCTTACAATAAAAAGTGTGAAATTTAGAAATTTTCCAAAACCTAGACTTTGTAAAGCAAGCAAAGACAAAATCTCCCAAATTTGTATTATGTGAGCAATTGTGAGCTCTCAGAACAGAAAAGCTGTGCTGCATTAACTGTCTGTCAATCCACGTATTTAAGTGGTATTCACTTACAAAATCTAACTAAACTAACAAAATTGTACTATAAACTGTCTTTGTACTCAGGGATTTGCAGCAATTTTAAAAATGATTTTAATAAAAAATTGATTCATTTCTCAAATGTAAACAGGATTTGAGAATATACTATATTTGAAATTACATATGTATCTACTACTGTGAAAGAATAGCCATGAAAGGGTTTGAAAAAAAATCTAAGCTTAGAATACTCTGTCCTGTTTAAATATTCATTTTCAAACATGTTCTGCCATATCTTAATAATCCGCTTTACTGATATCATAGTTTAATGATAATTTTAAGGTGGAAAAAGCTACTACTGACTCTGGTTACTTATTTTTGCCCCAGTGTCACAACTTCCCTCATCATGGTGAGCTGGATTGGGAAGCCAATCGAGATTAAAATTAACACAGAAAAAGAAAGATAATTTTTCAACAAAACCAGCTACACAGAAATGCAAGGTGAAACACTGGGTTGGAAGCCAATAGTGGGCACAACTGCCTCTTTTGGCTGATCATTAAGCTATATCATGAAGTAAATCATGTATTAATTAATATGAATAAAGCATCTGTACAAAGCATAAGATTGGTAAGATTTACATGAACAAAGTATAACATGGATATACGGCAGTGAATATGCACAGAAGCAGGAAAGTGTGCATGTCATTTTTTATTTTCCTTTTTCGGATGTGTAAGTGTCTCTCAGTTACAATTGACTAAGTCAAAGTTTTCTTAACTATCTCAAGATTTTGAGTGACAAAGACAGTCACCTCTTACTTGTCTTGAAAACAATATTGTAAACTTTTAAAGTACACCTAAAAGGCACCTACAACAGAATGAAATAAAAAAAAAAAAAGCCAGATGAATTCCTTTACTGTCTTTCCAATAACAGTGCAGTTATTTGACATCTGTTTGAGTAATTTGTGAATCTACTCATACAGGGAGAGAGAACCCATTAGGTTGATAATTACAAAGAATTTCTGATTCTGAAAAAATAGAAACTAGGTAGGAAATAAAAGTAAATATAGCGTTTAGAAAGCAGACAATGCAAGAAAGTAAGCTCGTCCAACAAACCTTTCTTAACTGCTACCTCAATTTTCTTCACACATCACTACACAAAGAGTTATTTCATAAGCAACTGTTACTTTAATTCCACTGAAATGCTGCTGTGTGCAACTGAGTTAAGCAAGGAAGCAGTCCTAAAAATGTTCCATATCAGTAGGGTCTTAGTCATGTAACGCTCCAAAACAGCCGCTTAAAATATTACTAAGTATAACTCTTATAATTCAGAGAAAGTTCTATTTTATCTTACCCCAAATAACTATCATCAGTTAAGTTTGCTACCACAAATCAGGATAATCCGGCCTGAATGGATCCACCATAATTATATTTCAAGGTGGAAGTGGCTTTGTGTCCCCGTTCACAGCACCGATGTTTGTAATTCTGAGCGTTCAGTATTGCACACACCTGAACACTTTGAAATACTCTAAATCGCTTCATATGAATTTCATATAGCATACGAACGTAATGCACACTTTTATATACCATATGCATTATCATGGACCAAATCTACACATGTTCTCAGATACTGCAGAGACATGAGGTACACAAGTAGATGAGGTAATACAATAAAAATTCTTTTCAGTTTTTAAACACATATGTATCATGACATCACAGTTAATTACAACTTCCACTTAACTATGTATACATTTATTAATGTCAACAGAATTTTGAACCAACGTATGTTAATTACTAGATTTTTACCTTTATTTAAAGCAAGAGGTAAGTTTATTCATCAGTTTACTATGACTAAGTGACAGCACTTACCTAGTCTTGAATAACTCTGGAAATTCTGGAACTGTTTTAAAAGAAGTCCAGCGAAAAGGAGGCGTTCATAATAGTAGAAACATACACAGATATAATTACGCCTTAATATTGCCAACATCTGCAATACCATGCATTAGAATTGAAAAACCCACAGATCACCTCTTTAAAAAAACACCTTCCAAAGCAAATACCAACCTGCACAATATCCAAAACCATGCCAGCAGAAACGGTTCCAAATCCCGCTAGCAAGAAAGGTACAAGTATCTGTAATGCCATAATACTACTAGATTCTTTGGGTTGTTTTCTGCTCCCTTCCACAATGATATCTTCATTACTGTCACTAGATAAGTTATCTTCCTGCAACATGGCATCTGTTTCTGAAGCGTCCATTCCATCACAGTAATTATAACTGCTAAAACCATCGTATTTAGGGCTACAGCTAGATGGGCTGTGTCCATTACTACCATGGAAAGTTGGTTCCGAGAAATGATGGTACTCCATGTGCTGATCAGATCTAACATTAAAATTGTGTCCTGCTGGCTGTAATCCATCTTGCCAGACACCATTCACTTTTTTGTGTCTTTCATCCTGGTTTATTTGGTAAACAACAGGAACCATACTCAACAGCAGATTCAAAAATTTATCAGACTGAATTGTATTAAGATTTATGGTCCAGTTAACAAAACCTTCTCTATCATGAACTTTGCGATTTGTTTTGGTGATGGTAGATCTGCCTTTACAGTTAGTCATAGTGTTACAAAAGTATAGGTTGGAAAAGCACTTTGTTCTTCAGACATCAACAAAGAAATCCTGTAGATGATTCACCAAGTGCCTCACTCGATGATTTTAAAATGGATAAACAAAATCCATTCCGATCCTTTTTCGCATGCAAAAAAGTTTTTTCATTGATCTCAGATCTTGAACAATCCCATAAGTAAGGCTGGATCTGCAAAAAAAAGGTATATATTCAAGCTTTAAAAAATTTTAGCTCTATATAGAAGGCACAAGATATTAGCCTGAATTCTCAGGTCACCCGATACCTTTTCAATGCCAGTGTTTGTAAAAATGCAAGTCTACTCCAAGCTTTAACTCCCTAAGCTGGAAGAAATTAAAAGGCAAAAAGGGAAAGATGGTGCACGAGGAAGCTTCTCAAACCCACCTACTCTCCAGTGAGTGAAATGTGGACTGTAAGCGAATACAGGGACGCCCTAACCTTTGCCTTCTTAAAGCCTGGAAAGCCAATGTCATCAGGTAGCGTGTGTAGTCCTAGATTTCCAGTGGCCTTGAAGGCAGTAGGTCCTGGCTGCCTGAAAGTCCCCAGGGAAAAATATCTGCAGAAAGTGCAAAAGGCACAGACAAATGGAACCCACTCAATGCGCTATGGAGCCACAGTTATTCCTCTGCTAACAGCAG